TTGTTGTGTGTGTGTGTGTGTGTGTGTGTGTGTGTGTGTGTGTGTGTGTGTATACCACAACTTCTCCATCCAGTCATCTGTTGACAGATCTTCTCTATTAGCTGCCATTCTGCTGTGAGGAAGAACTTTCTCTAATCGGTTGAATGACTGATTATCAGTCTGGCTCCTGGATTCTGACGATTCAGTGGACTATAATCTATCACTGTAATGATTTATTTTGATGCTCACACTGGTGCAGATTTGGCCATGGGAACCCTGTTATGCTGGCTCCTGCGACTCTTTGATAAATTCCTGTAATTTTCTGAGCACTTACTTTCTGACTCTAAAAAACGTTCTAGGTTCATTGTACACTTTGCATGTCTGTTACTGGAGTTGAACCGTTTCTCCCCAGAGCCCGGGTCCCCTTTAGGACAGAGTAACATCTAGAAGCCTTGATCTGGGAACTAGATGTGCTAGTTGCTGCTGGTGTGTGTCTGTCCACACACACACGAATAGAATTTATATATTAAAATAAAAGTATATGTTTATACACATATAATTATATCTGTTTCCAGCTTTCTCTATGTATATTAAAAACCATGAGTTTGCACCCATGCCTCCAATTCCTTTAAACACCACGAGGTTTCTTCCAGCCTCCGCCCTCCCCACATCTGAAACTGTTCCCCAGCAGTGAGAACCTGGCTCCCGCTGTCCCCAGTGCATCTTCATATTTGCTGGTTTCCCTGTATGGGGTCCGCCTGGCTCTCCCGCTGGGCACAGACACCTCAGGGGAAGGGAGGGGAAGAGGTAAACTTCTGGAAGAAGAGAAGCCCATAGGTTTTCAGAACTAGAGGCGACTTCTAGAACATGACTGGTGTTCAGGTGAGGCTCAGGGTCAGAGTGAGCAGGCGTGGATCCCTTCTAAGGGAAATGAGTGATTTTGGATTCTTTTTTCTTTAAGAGGCCCTTCAAACACGTGGAAGCCTTAGGCGCCCCAAATCTGGGTCTGCCCAGCTCCAGGACAGCATTCACGTGGACCCAGGAAAACGGGAGGTGTGCGGGGCCAAGAAGTCCAGCTAAAGTGAGGTGAACACCGTGGTCTGGGAGGGAGCCCGAGGTTCTCAAAACCATCTCCTGCCTCAGGAAGGGGAGCCAGTCAAAGGTCATCAGAATGCGACTCTATAACCTGCCTCCACCACTCAGTCCAGGTCCCAAAATGTCCCTTCCCCCAGGTCGGGGGCTTGACCAACTGATGTGACCTAGGCCACCTGCAAAATTTGGTCCCTTGAGTTTCAGCTACATGTGGGTGCATTTATGGGCCGAAATTCGGTTACCTGCTAGGTTACAAACACTACTTTCACATCCATAATTTGTGTTACTTTGAGTGGCAGTCATCCTAGAATAACAGAGCCGTCTTTGTCCTTTGTCCAGAGGGCGTACATGAAGGCACAGGGTCTGGGACTGCTGCCGTGCGCGGTGTCTGGGAACACGGCGGGGGTGGGGAGCACTTCTGGACAGGCTTTGCCCTGGGAAGCATCCGTGGCTCCCAATTCTCACCCGCAATGGTGCGGCCGGGGCAGAGGTGCTGGGCTTCACTCTCCAGCCTTTTCAGCCAATAGCCTCTTCCTCCTCCTCTTCAGGGTGGCCCAGATCCAAGTTTCCAAAGGGCCTTTCCCTGGGGTTTGTCCAGAGACCACGTGTTAGGGGGACAAGGCCTGCCTGGTCCAGCCAGAACCCCCTGGGGACAAGCCCCCTCTGGGGCGAGGCTGAGAGGACTGGAAGTTTTAGACTCACAGAATATCAGAGCTGGGAGAGGCCTAAGGATCATCTTATCTAAAGTCTCTGTGTCACAGAGAACTATCCTGGGGCCCAGAGAGGGTCAGTACCGCTTCGGGTCACACAGCAGGTCACAGCAGGTTTCTGAGTCCGGGCTCAGTGCTCACCCTACAACACAGGGCTGTCTTCCCTCCTGTCCGGGGCCTCGGCGGCGATAGGCCCCATCAACCCCTGGTGGGCCTGGGTCACTTCTCTGGCCCTGAGGGTGGAGTTTGGGCAGCTCAACCCCTAACAGGCCGATGACAGTCCCTCCATCCCTGTCCTGGCTCGATGAGGCATCAGCCCTCGGGGGACAGGCTGACCCCTCTTGTGACCTCTCCTGTGACCCCTCCTGTGACCCCTCCTGTGACCCCTGGCTCTTTGGTGGCGTCCCAGCCCAGAAATGGCCTCCGCTTCCTGTGGCCCCGGAGGAACGGGTTCTTGCCTAGAGCCTTTGTCCAGGGTCCCCCGCCGCCCAGCCAGCGATCCCGGG